GTATTACTTTTTGTAGTTGATATAATTTAGACAAGTATATATTTATCAAATTTAGTTCAATGCAATATTAGATTAGACTCATATTTTTTTTCTTTTCCCCCCTACAAATACATATCCAGAAACTGGATCAGAAGTCTACTAAAAACACCCACCGGATCTTTTTGATGTAGTTGATATAAAAGCTGGGGTGCTAAGAAAGTAACGAAGCCACAAAAGACTTTTTGWTTGTTTTTGAACCGTATGATTAATTTTATGATTTATTTTTCTTTTTATGTCCTGATTTAAATTAAATTTAAATTTAAATTTTTGTTCTTTCATAAAAATTATTTTGGGGGCTATAAACAAATCAGTAGGTGATCATAAATTATTTCCTGCTGCAGTATTTTACCATAGATTTGCTAATCACTTGTACTTCCTTGTTTTTGTTTTGAGCAGGGGGAGATAAAGAGCGGATGACCAACAACCATGAGACCTACCTACTTATGGCCAGCTCCCAGAATGACATGGAGGATTGGGTGAAGACAATACGGAGGGTCATCTGGGCACCTTTTGGTGGWGGTTAGTATAAATGCAGGCAGGCGTTGTTTTTGTAAGCCTGTGAACACTTTTGAGTGCCTGGTTTAAGGTCTGTGTGATTAAGGTTTTAATTATCTTGTGTTTATAATCAAGATTAAGTAGTCGAATTACCTCTTCAGCATGGCCTCCAGTTATGCACAAACCTGTCACTCATTTTCAAAACAGATGTGTTGAAGGAAAGGAACATCTAAACCAGTGTTTCCCAAAGTTGGGGTCGGGACCCAAAGTGGGATCCTGAAAAGATTTTCTGAATTAATGACATTTTTGCCTTAGTTGTTACAAAGGAGTGAGGTTAGTATATTTAAAATGGAGAAATGTAGTATAAAAATAGTTACTATGCCCATGTTTAGTTGACCTGATACAAATGTTTATCATCCAAAAATAGCTGGGTGCTCAGGTCTCTGCTACTGTTATTTTGTGGGTCAAAAGCTGAAAAGTTTGGGAACCACTGGTCTAAACCATACAGGATAGTGACCTTACAGGACCAGGATGATCTGCTGTAGTTTTCCTTGATAAAAAACAAAACAAGAACCCAAAAACAAGGGTCATTTTGCAGAAAAGCAGTCATGTTGGCACTTTCAACATACTGCAGGTTCTTAGTACTAAATATAGAAATGCGGCGTGTATTATAAACCAGCAAAACTGTAGAACATTTTTATCTCCATTTTCTATTGTGACATTTTATTCTACTGACAAAAAAATATATTTTTAAATAAAACATACATAGTGATGCTGAAGTAAACAACAAAGCATGACGATGCTATATTTGTTCTCATGAAAAGCTTCCTGAATTTATTGGAATTAGTGCACTGATTACTGAGTCCCGCTGTGCTGCTGTGGCTTGTTATTGACTGTCCTGGCACACATCGACTTACATTGTGTTGCAGCTTTCGCAACCAGACGGGCAGCTTTCGTTGACAAATAGAATAGATGAGGCAGAGTTGGCCCCTCTGTTTTCAGTGCGGGGAGTTTCACGTCCATTACAGTTGACTGCTCTTCAAAAGGACGAGCCATTTGTCAATGATGCCACAGGAAAGGTGGCTCCATGTTGGAGCTGAGCTGGGCTTCCCTCATCTCACACACACATATAGGCACAAAGAGCACACACATCACATTTTACAGTAGCAAGAGTGACTAAATAAACCCTGATAGGCTGATTAAGACTGCTGACATGTCATTAAAAAAAACTCAGTTCATTGAGTGCCAGACAGGGAGGGAGCACCCAGAGCAATGTGATGTTAAAGCTGGACTCTTACTGGGATGTTGCATTAAGTACTGCCCGACCCGAAGAGTGAGGGAGTTAGAAAAATGTGTAGCTGTGGCTTCTCCATTTGGATCCTCGGTGATTTATTTCATGGTAATTACCAGGTTTTTTTCTCTGTACTCAAGCAACATGTTAGGATTGTAATTAATTCTAACTAAACAATACATCAGTTACATAATACAGTTACAACATTAATGGAATGTAAAAAAAAAAATACCAGGGAAGATAATTTGATTAGTTTTTTTTTCATAATTACTTTATGAAATTATTTCAGAGATGTTAGCATAACACAACCAGTTAAAGACTCCTCTTCTGACCTTAGCTAAACAGAAAAAGAGAGAAATTAACATCATTTCTATTACTGTGTTACCATGTTTACGGCTATTGTTAAATTTTCAAGTGTAACTTGGCGACTATGGGTCTTCATTTTTTGATAGTTGCTTGTGTTTTTGATGTGGACTGTCATTCAGGATATTGTAAATCCAAAAATATGTCTTTAGGTCATAGTTTCCATGCTCATATAGCCCTGCTGTTTTGTAAGTGTCAAGTGCACAAGGGCTCTGATAAGATTAGTCTAATTTAATCACCTACCTTGTCGTGTCTCGTGTGTAAATGTGTGCGAGTAGCCTCCCTCCGTATCTGAGACTGGAACAGTATGCAGATCCAAATCTCTGTGGAGGGCCATCCTAATCCCCAACATGGGACAGCAGCACATCGGGCTTAGGTGAAAAGGCGAGAGGAGCTGCTGAGCAGAAAGTTACAGATCTGATTATCAGACTCAGTTTAGGTACATGTTTTATACTGGGCATGTCTGGACGTAAACATCACAAATCACAACATGATTGATTTGACATCACTCTTTGTTTCTTTAATCTACAGCTTTGTTTCTCACTGTTCTGTTAGACTAAAGGCCAGTTTATACAGTAATGAGTTGTGACATAAAACTCACCTGTTCTGAGAGCAAAATGTCTGTTGATGATCAGGTTTAGTGAGATGCTGATAGTAGAATAGAGCTTTTTTGGTTCAGGCTTGTACCATCTCTTGAGACCCTGCACACATGGATTATTTTTGCCTGCTTCATGAAACAATATTGTAATTGCCTGTGGTGTGATATTGTATGTGTGCATGTTCATTTGTCTACATGTTAGCAAAATATCTCATTAATCTCATTGGATTCACATCTATAACTGTTAACATATGGCATCAACCAGATTCATGTTGGCTGTCGCAGCTAATTGACCTTAGCCAACTCAAAAATTACTGCAATTTGGTCAACTTTACAGATTTTGCGGTAAAATTTGGTATGGTACTAGATGACATGCTTCAAGCACTAACAGATTGCGCAAGATGATGATGCGTTCCTTTAATGCTAATTTTTAATGTTGCTATAGGAAGTCGTGCTTTTTTTATTTGTCATGAGATGGGACATCACATTTGTTTTTACATTTATTGTTAGATGGATTTTGGACAAAAGCTTTCAGTGTGAAGAGTAAAAAACACAACTGCTTGAAGCTTATTTCTTTTGGAAAAAACAACAACAATCATCATCATGAAACATTTTGTCCTGCGTTTCAGGGATCTTTGGTCAGAAGTTGGAGGAGACTGTCCGGTACGAGCGCCGATTCGGGAACAAGCTGGCTCCCATGCTAGTGGAGCAGTGTGTGGACTTCATTCGGCAGTGGGGTCTTCAAGAAGAGGGTCTCTTCAGGCTGCCAGGACAGGCCAACCTGGTCAAAGAGCTGCAGGATGCTTTCGATTGTGGAGAGAAACCATCTTTTGATTGGTAAGGGGAAAACATAATCAATCTGGGTGATTAAATTTCTCCAAGGATTTTTACGACCAGCTCATATATTCAGGTTGCTGACTGCTGAGATCTGTGCCTTTTCAAATAATTTCAATTGAATTTAAGATGAGCGAGCACTTAAAGCCCTGTTTTGCATATAGCTATGCCCACATCCAGATGTATCCCTAACTCAAGTTGATGGAGAACAAGTGATGGGATACACCAGCTCTGTACTTTGCAGCTTGGAATGTCTCTGCTTTTCTATTCATAGTAAGAGGTATTGTAAAAACACTAACATGTAGGAAGTGGGAGAGGATGAAAATACCATTAAAATGACTGAACAATCAGAGGGCTAATCCAAGTAGGCTACATCCGGTGGGTGAGAATACACAAAAACTGCAAACAACTCTGGGTCAAACAGTGTCAGAGTAGACAGGAAAGAGCTGAAGAATAACAGCAGAACTCTGACTTGGTGGAACTGAACCAAAGATTGTTTGCTACGACTTTAGGCACACATGAAATTTTAGTCAAAATTCACATCTCTTGGGTCATTCTTTGTAAATGAAGGACTTCTCAGTGCCTTGTCCCTGTCTACAGTAACACAGACGTGCACACCGTAGCCTCTCTTCTGAAGCTGTACCTCAGAGAACTGCCCGAGCCTGTCATCCCCTTCCAGAAGTATGAAGAGTTCCTGGCCTGTGCCAAACTCCTGAGCAAAGATGATGAAATGGTGAGAAATCAGAAAACTCACACATTGCTGGTCACAGACTTTATGCCTGTACCCAAACATCTTCTGGCTTCTGTTTATAGAACGACAGCACTGAATAAATCCTGTTTTGGGGCAGAAAATCTGGTTTCCGGCGTCATCCCTTGCTCTGCTGGGATGTTTCTTCACACCATGATTTTGTTGTGTCTGTCTTGATTTCTGGCATATAAATAGAATTTCTGTCACAGCTTGATACAGGGTCGGAGGCAGAAGCTAAGTTTCTGTTCTAGTGTCCAAAGTCTGTTTGTATTAATTAGGCATTGAGCATTTGAATATTTGGACATTTATGTGGATTTTTGTTTTTCAATTCTTCTATGTAGATGAAAGCTTTGGTCTTTCCTTTTTACAATTTATGGCATAATGAAGAACAATAAAAACATTATTTGGCTATTTATTCTTTTTCTTCAGATTTAGCATTACTTTGACTGAACATAATTCCCAAATTAAGATTAAAAAATAGTCTTCAAATGAGCTGCTGTGGAATCGTTGAGACTGGAGTTGTTTTAAGACCATTGCAGTCCATTTTGTTTGTAGCCTCACTCTCACTATCTATTAGCTTTTCAGTCCGGCCACCTTTTATCTTTAAACTGAGGTTTTTCTAAGAGCTATCTACAAGTCAAAAGATCTGTCACACAAGTGTTCATGAGTGTTCTCTCTTGTCTTCAGGGCATGAAGGAATTAAAAAGGCTTGTGGAAAGTCTACCTCCAGTGAACTACAACCTCCTCAAGTACATTTGCAGGTACTGGCTAATTGTAAAACTGGATAAAATTCAAACTGCAAGAAATCATTAACAGTGAAATGTTTGTTTCTTTTTTTTAATCACAGATTTCTTGATGAAGTCCAGTCTTATTCAGGAGTGAATAAAATGAGTGTCCAGAACTTGGCCACAGTTTTTGGGCCAAATATCTTGAGGCCAAAGATTGAGGATCCAGTGACAATTATGGAAGGTCAGTGTTTGAGTGCAACCTTCTTAGTTTTAGTTTTGTGCTGACACTGATGTTTAGTTTCATTTTCTCAGGAACCGTTCTGGTTCAGCAACTCATGGCTGTTCTGATTGGTCGCCACGACGTTCTTTTCCCGAGAGACAAAGATGAGCCGACATCCCTGGAACTTGCTAACAACAACCACATTGAGCAGCCAAAGAGACAAGCCGCCGCAACTACCTCACCCATCATCGCCGTGTCCCAGAATGCAGAGAACAACAACACGCAGGGGGTCCGGCAGTGTGTTTGGGAAGCACCCGAGTCTCATTCAAACCGCCAACAAGTCGACAACAGGGGCTCCTCGCGATCAGCAAGCCCCCAAAAGGTTGTCCCAGGACACTTTGACACGACCCGTAGTCCACCCCTAACCATAAAGAAGAACCCAGCTTTCAGTAAAGGCAGTGGGATCGTTACAAACGGCTCCTTCAGCTCCTCCCCCTCCTCAGATCCTACGCTAGATAAGAGCCAGGCCCTGATGGGAGGCGGGAGTTTACCAGTTCGTCGCAGTGGGACACTAAAAGGCTCGGGCACAAAAATGGGCACCAGTGGGGTGACGAGTGGAGGCAGTCCTGCAGGGAATGGGACTGGCGTTGTGCGCACTGGTATCTCAGGCTCTGATGGGATCACAGGAACTCTGAACAATCGCAACGGTCTCTGGGTACAAAATGGCTGCGTCATGCTCCGAGAGAGCAACAAGACACGCCACTGCTCCCACGGGGAACAAACAGCCAGTCAGAATCGCCTGTCCACGTACGATAACGTGCAGTTAAACCACCAGAACCTGCAGAATCAGACCACCAACACGTGTCTGAGTACCAGCTGTGAGGACAAGCAGAGCGTGGATAGTGCCACTTGGTCCACATCCTCCTGCGAAATCTCCCTCCCCGACAACTCCACTTCCTGCCGCTCCTCCACCACCACCTGCCCCGAGCAGGACTTCTACGGCGGTCATTACGAGGACCTGGATGGACCGGCACAGGATGGCGATCCTCTCCAGACCGGTGGTGGAGGAGGAGAGGGGGGTGGCAGGAACAGCAACGGGGAAGGGGGTGGTGATGGAGCTGGGGGTAGTAGTCGGGGCACCAGCAGTAGTGAGACCAGTGAGGGTTTCACTATTGGCAATGGACCTGGCAGCCACAGCGCTCTGCACAGTCTAGTGGCCAGTCTTAAACAGGAGATGCACAAACAGAAGTCTGAGTACGAGGCCAGGATCAAAAGGTAGGGATGCAGTTTTTTTTACATGGTTCTATTTAACAGAGTAATAACTCTTTATCACATTTGCTGAAATAGTTTCTCTTCCCTGAGTGAGACGTGACATCTGCCTGTAGAGAGAAATTGCTTAAATCTTGCTCAGTCATTCTCCTGCAGGTCTTTCTTTCTAAAACGCCTTAAAAGAATCTATTTTCGTAACAACAACAAAAAAAATAATAAATAAAAAAAAATAAAAAAAAAGAAATTCATTAGAATGATAGTATAACTGCAATGGTCTGAACCAGAACGCTCAATTAATTTTATTCTGACCAGAGTTCAGATGTTGGCTGGGACATTTTGACTACAACTTTGAGTTTTGGTACTTCTGATCAATTTTTTAAGCTTAAAAGTCCCAGTTTTACATAGTCTTTAGTATGTGTTAGGATGTAATAAAAAGTTAAAACAAGTGATTGTTGCTAGCTTGTTTCATGTTTTTATATAGTATGTTCAAAAGTCGGGTTGGACATCATTTGAATTTGAATGATTCTGGTTCTGAGTTTTGATTCTGGTTTCCAACTATTCCCAGTTTGATTCTTTGGAGAGGTGGGGTTATGTTCATGGTTAAAATAAGCTAGCTAACTAGAGTTCTTTCTGGATGAACAAGTCTTAACTTCTCTAATTCATAAACGCTTTATGAATTTTACTAAGAATTCTTTATGGGGCTTTTATCAACCGCTATATAAATATAAACCTATAAACTTGAATATAAGTTTTATGATTTATTTTTTTACAGGGGTACACTTTCACAAGAGCTTTATTTTTTAAAACCTCATGAAAACACATTGACACATATCCAGTGTTTGATGCTGCAGGCGAACAGGTTACTAAGCTGATGTTACAGTTTTAGGGTGTAGTATATATTGGTAGCGGTGTTAGCAGTGTTCGTATTTTATTGTTTTACCTACCTAGATGTGTGAGCAGAGGAAGGCCCTCGCAGAGCGTTAAAAACAACCTGAAACGGTGTTTAATCATGTTGGTCATGTGCCCTCCTTAGCACATTATAATCGTTTTTTTTTTTTCCAAGTTAAGCCACACAAGATCACAGCTGCACACTGTCCATTTATGCACACACTACCTGCAGATTTTTCTTTGTTGGTGTTAGTGTGGCTCAGACATTCTTCTTTTTTGTGGTTTGGCAACTCATATATCTACTGATATATCGTAATCTTCTTCGTTGGTGTTTGGCGGTTTGCATGCAGATTGCTCTTTGTTGGTGTTTAGCAATTTCCTCTTCTGGTCGGCGGATTATGTATTAAAACAAGGAATCGAAATTTAAAAATTCTAACAATCCAGTCGAATCCAGTTAGTCCTGGTTTCAATCAATACTTGAGATTTGTCCAACCCTATTCATAAATAATCACCTCTTATGTCTAGGGGTGCAACAATACATGTACCCGTATCAAACCGTTCAATACAGTGCTTTAGGTTCAATGCACACTTGTATCGAACAATACAGATTTTTTTAAAATTTACTTTATCAACTTGTCTTCTGAAGATGCTCTGTGTTAAAAGATCAGTGGATCTGTGTTCGACTACTCCACCTAGGCTGCATTGTTGAGCACTGATCCACTGAGAAACTTGCTGTTTCAGCAACGTTTAATTAAATAAACTGTACTTTGAGGTTAAACAAGTGGTCATAATTAATTTAAATAAATTACAAGTTAAAAAGGGGCATGGAAATTTCTCTTTTTTTGTATCGAAAAAATATCGAACCGTGAGACTAAAGTATTGAACCGAACCGAATCGTGAATTTTCTGTATCGTTGCACCCCTACTTATGTCTCTTTTCATGCATTGTGAAACCTCTTCTGCAGCTTGGAGCAGCGTAACCTGGAGCTGGAGACGGAGATGGTGAACCTCCACGAGGAGCTGGACCAGGAGAGGAAGAAGTACACCATGGTGGAAATCAAGCTACGCAACGCCGAGCGTGCCAAGGACGACGCTGAGCGGCGGAACCAGATGCTGCAGAAAGAGATGGAACAGTTTTTCTCCACATTTAGTGACCTCACCGCAACCGGCAACACCCCGGCCACCGACCCCCGCCGAACAGACCGCAACAACACCATCTGGATCCAGTGAAAGGAAGATGGAGAACTGCCTTTGAAGACTGAAGTTACGTACATTATGTTGTCATCGCTGAAGTAACGTGAAACAGGAAGTTGCTGCTGATTGAAGAAGGAGGTGGAATGCAAAATATAATGGCACGTTTTATTTTAAGAAATTGAAAGTGTACAGCTAGTAAAGTTGACCTGTATAAATGTAGCATCACCTGGAGTGATGCTAAACAAACATTATCTGTACATACCATTATTTAAAAACCTCATGGAGACTCTTTAACCTCTGAAATCGGTGTGGTTCTCATTTAGGACAAAGGAACACTTCACCTCAGTTTGTGATGAGATTTGGTACAATGTTTTACAGTCAGCTTGTTGGGCCTGAAAGATGGAAGGGAAGGAAAAATGTGAAAGAATGTAAAGAAATGCCAAACGCCACGCAGATTTAGCTCTTTTAAATGTGTCCAGTGTCATTCTATATGTATATAGAGGGAAACAATGCAGACATTTGTTTGTAAAAAGAAATGAAACGAAAACTTAAATGTTAGTATCTAAGCAAAGTTATCAATGTGATATTTTATATTTTCTTGCACTTACATGTCTGTCCAGCCTCTGCAAGTAGGTACTGAATGTTCTATCAATGTGTTTGAAATCGGAGAGTACGCTGTAAATTTGCCTGTGCCTCTGTGCTGTTACATTTGTTCATGACCAAAACAAAAAAATAAGGAATCTGTTCTGTAAATATTTTATAGATTATTGAAGACACTACTTGTTAGTCTGCACTGTGGTTTGACAAATGTTCAAATGGATACGGCACAAATTAAGTTAAGACTGACGGAGGTTTTTGTAGCTTTTAAAAAAATTAACTTTAAGCCTAGTGCAATTGATGTATTTCACAAATAAGGAACAAGGATTGACTTTTCAAGAAATTTGGAGTAAAACTAGCTGACAAAACAGGTTTTCCTTCTAAACTGTGAATAAAAGGACAGTGGAGCGATTTAAAAAATGATCTGATAAAACGTATGAACAAATAATACTGTATATTCTATGTTGATGACTTCACAGAACCCCTCTCAAAAAGGCCAAACTGTCCCTTTAATCACTGAGCAAAACACCCAGCTGTAAGATTCAGCTGGAAATGTGTGTATGAAAGTGCATGAGTCAACCTGGTTGGTGGGACTTTGTATTAATAAAGTGTATTTATGTGGCCTTAAACCAAATGTCTGCACGCAGTGTGCATTTGCTGAGGGGTATAAATCCACTGCTGAGCTCCAGCTGTCAGACGAGGGTTCTGTTGGCAGACCTGCTGCTGCTTCACGACTAAAAAAGACCAGATCCTATTAAAAAAAACCTGCTGCTGGTCATTGCAGGACATGTGGAATGCGTCGCATCCACGGGGGTAAAAAATAAGTGCCCGGACAACCAAAGAAAAGGAGGGACGCATGCAACTTCTCACGTTGCACCCGTCACCATGAAATAATAGGCTTACTGGAGCTGTCACCTCTGTGAATTCAACACAAAAGAGCAGATTATGAACTGACTGGGATGCTGAAACATCTTCGAGACACGAGGCTTGGTATTCGGAGGAACCTTAAAAAATGTCAAAGAATAAAGATAAATTTACCCACAAGTTTGTTTTTTATTGTGTCTTTTAAGAGTATTTTCCAAATTAGGCAAATTTTGTGTATTTATCATTGATTGAGTGAAGAAAACTTATAGGAGCTAAGAAATACTTTTAAAACAATTCTAAACTCTTTCTGTTTATCAAAGTAACAATTCATTAATTTATATATTTTAAAAGCTGTGTCAAAAATATAAGACAGGTTTATAGAACAATCTTGTGCGGTCACGCTTTAATTTCATTAACTTTTCAGATACTTTTTAAATTATTTTATGTATATTTGAGTTTATCTTTCAGGTTCTTCATTGTCATACAGTCTGTTTTTAGTTTTTAAATCAAACACCATCACCTGCACTACTTGGCCAGGGATGATTGGACCTCAGTGTGTGATCACAGTTATTTAAATGTGACACATTTGCATCATTTTCAGAAGTATCTAAAGGTCCTGTCATACTAGACAGCTTATGCCAACTTATGATCATTTTAAAGACATCTACATTGAAGAAAGAATTGAAAAAATCAACAAGAAGCTTCTTTTCAGTGTGTTCCTCGTAACTTGAACAAATTGATCAAATATATAAATTTTATTAGCAATTTAGACATAAAAAAGTTTCATAAATTGTCTAGTGTGACAGGGCCTTTAGATTCTTCTGAAGATTATTTTATTTTAATGCTTTGAAGCCCCTAAAACTTTGAAAATGTAGCAGTCTGTCAGGTATTCACAAAGTTTGTTAAATGATTATCAGTTGTATAAATTTAACAATAAAGTGATTTGGTGAAAGATATTAATAATATGTTCCACTTAATCATGATTTGTCCATTTATGTAGTAATTTATAATGCTTCAAAATCCTAAACTTTAGGCCTGGCTTGACTCAGCTTGGTTCTTAGCTGTAGTAAGTTGATTGAACTCATTTTGAATAAGCTGTTGAAGGAATCATGTCTCCTGTTCCAGGTTTGATAATAAAGGGATCAATGGGTTGATTAAATGTGTTTTTGTTCGTTCATTAGGGGCTGAAACAAATAACACCAAGTTGCTTTTTTACTAACTCATACTGTGTGTGTGTGTGTGTGTGTGTGTGTGTGTGTGTGTGTGTGTGTGTGTGTG